ATTTAGAGACAGAGTCTCCCTGAGTTGTTCAGTGCCTTGCCTTTGCTGAGGCTGGCTTTGAACTCTCCATCCTCCTGCCTCAGCCTCCTGAGCCACTGGGATTACAGGCGTGCAACATCATTTCCAGCCTAGGTTGAGAATTATTAAAGGTATTATAAAATTTTGATACAATAGAATAATATATTAAATTCAAATAGAAACCCATTCATGTGTTACCTGCTTAAATTACATACACCTAAGGAATGGAAAAGAAAATAAGCAAAACAAGATTGGCATGTATTGATAGTTATTGGATCTGGTAATGAGCTCTTTATCACATTCATCTATTACGTTCATATTTTCTATTCTGAATATGTTTGAAGATTCCCATAATAAAAAGCATAAATAAATGACATACATATGTTGTTTAAATGTTTTGGATGAAAGGAAACTATCCCTCTCTTCTATAACAAAAGCTTAGAATAGAGCTGTGGATGTTGCTCCCTTGGTAGAATGCTTGGCTACTATGTGAGGCCCTAAGCACTGCCAAAAACAAAACACAAAATAAAAACTGAAAAATCTTAAAATAAATCAGATAAAGAAGGCTTATTCCAGAAACTGTATTCCCTTAGTTGATCTGGATAAATATTACAAAGGTTAAAAACAAACATGCTTTTACTGCTAAACCCTTAGTCCTTAACCCAGAATTTCAAGGGTTCTGCACCCCCTCTGGAACTGGAATTGCCTGAAGGAGAATTAATTTTCATTTAAATCCACTCTTCTATTCCCCACCTCCTCTAGTGAGAGAATCAAACCCAGGGCCTCCCACATGCTAAACAAGGAGAGCTCTGAGTTATACCTCTAGCTCTCTATCCATTTTTAGCACCAATGAATATTTAATAAGTTTCCACAGGGTACATGACATTCTGCTTATCTGGTTGGTGCTTGGAACCCAAACACTTCATCTCCTTATTTGTCCTCAGAGAACTTCAAAGACAGCTGCTCTAGATAACAGTGAATCTGGAGCTAGAGTTATAGAGCTCAGTGAAAGAGCACTTGCCCGGCATGTGCGAGGCACTGGGTTTGATTCTCAGCAAAGCATACAAGTAAATAAAAAAATAAATAAAGGTACATTGACAACTAAAAAAAAATATTTAAAAAAGTAATATTGAATCAAAAGTGGTAACATAAACTCAAGTTGGTACCAGTTAAACATTCCATACAATAGATATTATTGCCTCATAAACTTATCTTAAAAAAAAGAAAAGGTGTCACATGGTGCTGCTTGGAGTGGGGGTTGTTTGTACAAACATTATGATTAAATATTACACAGGTTGTTATGCCCTTAGAGAAGTCTTGGTTCCACACTCATCCCTAAGCCTAAAGGTGACTAAAGATTCCTGATATTAGTCAGAATAATACCTTTAAAATATGTAGCTTGCTTCATTCTTTGACCTTACTACTAATCTGAAAAGATAATAAACGGAAAGCCAAGGTTACCCAGAAAATAAGTTGAACCAAATGAGACATCAAAGAAGACCTGAGTACGTAATTGGCAAGGAAGAAAAATATCTATTTCGGGCAACTTCTAACTCTTCTCTCCATTGAAAAACTTCAGCAAAAAAATAGAGGTTATCTACTGATTAACACTTAGTTATTTGTCTCCAATTAAATACTATAGTAGACAAAAAGGGGAACACTTTAAAGAAAGTGGCTATTCCTCCCTCTTCTCAGYAATGACACTTAGTGACAAATCAATTCAAATAAGTCTCAATGGTTCACTTGACCCCCTTCATTATACAATGTGTATCATCACTATATCCAGTTCAAACTCAAAAACTTTAGAAAGCTAGGCATGGTGGTACATGCTTACAATCTCACTGGCTCTGGAGGCTGAGGCAGGAGGATCACAAGTTCAAAGCTAGCCTCAGCAACTTATGGAAGCCCTAAGCAACTCTCTGAGACCCTGTATTCAAAATAAAAAACAAGAAGAGTGAGGATGTGGCTAAGTGGTTAAGTGCCCCTGGGTCAAACCCTGGTACCAAGAGATTATTTTCTTCAGATACATGTTTTTGGTATTTTCTCTTAGTATAGAAATAGAAACTGAATCAAAATGAAGAATCTTTATTGTCTAATTTTTTCTTTCTTTCTTTTTTTTTTTTTTTTTTGGTACTTTGCCATTGAGGTACATCAGCCCAGTCCTTTTTATTTTGACACAGGGTCTGGCTAAATTGCTGAGGCTGGCCTTGAACATGCAATCTTCCTATCTAAGCCTCCCGAGTTGCTGGGATGTTAGGTATGCACTACTGCTCTTGGGAAAAATAACCTTAAAATATGTGTATGTGGGCTGGGGATGTGGCTCAAGCAGTAGCGGGCTCGCCTGGCATGCGTGCGGCCCGGGTTCGATCCTCAGCACCACATACAAATAAAGATGCTGTGTCYGCCAAAAACTAAAAAAATAAATATTAAAAAATTCTCTCTCTCCTAAAAAAATGTGTATGTATGTATAAAATTTTAAGGTAAAACCACGTGAAGAAAATGATTATAAAGTTTATTTCTGAGGAAATACAGGGGTAGGTATAATAGAAAGTTTTGTTTTAAGACTCTATAGTGCTTATATTTTGAACAATTGTCACACCTCAAAAACACTGAGGGCGAGAGGTACACAATAGTCATGTTTCCATAGGTATCTATGATCCAATGTCCCAAAGACAGGTTGTGTTAAACATGTTTTGAAAAGGGACACTTTTGGGGGGGAGGGTGTCAGGGATTGAACTCAGGGGCACTTGACCACTGAGCCACATCCCCCAGCCCTATTTTATATTTTATTTAAAGCCAGGGTCTCACTGAGTTGCTTAGCACCTCGCTTTTGCTGAGGCTGACTTTGAACTTGCGATCCTCCTGCCTTAGCCTCCTAAACTGCTGGGATTAACAAGGGGTGCACCACCGTGCCTAGCTGAAAAGGGACACATTTTAAATATTGTTCTCTTTATAAAAGCAGTTTATTACCATAGGATTTGAATCTGCTATGAGATCCCGTAGAGAATCCAGAAATCCCTGATCTTCCACCATCTGGGCATTGATATCATGGAGTTTTGCCACACAGACTGCTGCTGTTTTCCGAACATAGGGGTCTTCATCCTTTAAGCACTTGCGGAGGGGCTCACAGAGATATTCTGTAATCTTGTCCACCCGGATGCAACCCATGGTCCTAACCGCCAAGGCTCGAATCAAAGGATTGGGATCTTCACAGTCCTACAAAAACAGTATCAGTTCTGAGTAAATAAGGTAAACAGTCCAGTTGATGCAAACCACAAGAGAATATTTTAGTAATTTAAGTTTCTGGTTACACCTACAACACAACATAATCTCCCTATTCCTTTTCTAAGTAAAAGTTTTAGTTGTCTATTCAAGAGTTTAGAAGGAAGCCAGGCATAGTGGTACATATGCCTATTACCCCACCTAGTTGGATGGCTAAGGCAGGAGGATCAAAATTTGAGGCCAACCTGAGCAACTTAGCAAGAAGGAAATCACCTGTTTAATATTCAAAATAAGGAAAAGCCCAGTAGTATTTAATCCAAGGCTAGCCATATAAATCCATGCACAGCTCTAACTTTCAAAGTATGTAAATCAAAATCTTCCCAATGGATTGAAYAGAAAGACAGACACACACACACAATGATTATAAAGGCACTTAACATGGAAAGATAATAGTGGCAAATATATGAAAACGGTGATTATATTTCATCTATGAACCACCAGGTGGGGAGAATGAAAGTTATCTTCCCTCTGATTTGTATTATACAGAAAAACACAAAAAAAGCCCAAAAAGTCTACAAGAAGAAAGAAACATATTGATACTTTTTCAAACTTTAAATAAAAGTTAATTTTTAGAGATGCTGTCATTTCTTTTTTTTTTTTTTTTGGTATTAGGGATTTAATCAGAGGCACTTAACCAATGAGCTACATCTCCAGCCCTTTTAGTTTTTTATATTTTGAGACAGGTCTCACCAAGTTGCTTTGAGCCTCACAAAATTACTGAGGCTGACCTTGAATTTACAGTCCTCCTGGATCCTACTGCCTCCATCTCCCAAGTCACTGGATTACAGGCATGTATTACCACACCCAGGTTTTTTTTTTCTCTTTTTTTTAATGTAAACTAATTTCCGGTCAGAGAAAAAAAAATTAATGGAAACAATCTTATTATTATGTTTATCAAATCTAATGACAGGAAAAAAAATCTATCTACTCAATTACATTAAGGCAATTTTTGAGGTTTTAAAAGTTTTTAAAGATGTGACAATAGTACTCTGGTTATATTTTTGAAAAAGATATCTTATTCTGACAAATGTAAGGATGAAATGATATGATGTATTGGCTTTGCTTAAAATTTATCTAGCAGGAAAGGGGTGTGGAGATCCCAAAACTACACATATAGGAAGTGTAATTATTAAAATTATGAGTATTTAGGAATTATAGTATGAATATTTGAAATTTTCCATAGTAAAAAAATCTTAATCAAATATTTTAAGACCTAGGAAGTGAAACGAAAGTAATACTTCCTATAGTTTCTAATACTGATGGCTGTTAAGCTAATTTCTACAAAAATAAAATACATAAAGCCACAGGTAACTAATACAATAACGATATGCCCACCTTAGTCAGCCTTGGAAGGTAAAACAGTGAGGTTTCACCTGGCTTTATTCTACCCATCTGGCAAGGATACGTGTACCAAGCAGTGCTAACAGAAGGCTCAACATATGGTTTGAACTCCGCTTGATGACACATGCTGACTTATGGAATGCTTAAAACATGAACAGTTCTACTTATCGCCAATACTTCCCTGGCAGCCTTCCTCTGAAACAGGTTGCTTATTTGCAATGCAGACACTAACTATACCAAGAGTCACTTCTAAAATGGTTATTGGAAATAGAAGGGATTGCTGCAGTCCTTGGGAAAAGTTACCTTCACAAAGCTGTTGACAGCCATGATGGCCATGTCTGGCTGACTCTTGGCATAATTCATCAAGTAGAGATACACAAGTTTCTTCAGTTCCAGGTTATCAGTCTGCATACAGTTCACTACATCTGGAAAGAGAGAACTGAGAAGGGAAAGAGAAAAAAGAAAGTAAACAGGCGTGGGTGCTAAACTGCTGGAAAATGAAGAAATGGCTTGATTCAATGATTTGATACAAGGACAGTGTCCCCATAGTGACAATTATTTGCTTGTTAAGTTTTTTGGTTTTGGTACTGGAGAGAACCTAGAGGCGCCTTACCATTACTATATTCCTTTTTATATTTTAGTCTGGGACAGGAACTCACTAAGTTGCTAATGACTTCACTAAATTGCTGAAGCTAGCCACCAATTTGTGATCCTCCTTGTTTTAGCCTCCAAAGTCACTGGGATTAGAATCACTGGGATTATAGGCATGGGTCACTACATCCAGCCACTACAGGGATGATTATCATGGAAATTAATTACTAAAGGAATTGGAGTACTGGTCCCAAGGACTCTAAATGGCTTTTTTTTTTCTTCTTTTTTTGATGGTGCTGGGGTTGAAACCTCATGCAAGCATTCTATCACTGAACTATAGTCCCAGTCCTCAAAGTAGTTTTTGAAAACAACTTGTTTTTATGAAAAATTCCAAACAAGTAGAGAGTGCAATATACAAGCCCAATGTACCCCTCACCCACAAATACTGCTACATGCCCAATCTTGTTTAATTTATGTATTCAACCTACTGCCCCTACTCTCATCCCCACATTTACTTGGTTGCTCTGGATTTTTTTTTTTAATTTTTAAAATTTTTTGTGAGGCAGGAGTTTGAACCCAGGATCTCAAGCACTCTACCACTGAGCTATATCCCCACCCCCTGGATTATTTTAAAATAAATCCCAGACATCCTCTCATTTCATCTACAATATTTTAGTGTATCTTTCTACAAATCTTTTTTTAAAAATCAATCTTTCTCATACTAAAAAGAAAAAAAAACAGTAATTCTTTTTTTTTTGTCAGTATAAATCCACTTTTTTTTTATTTTTTATTTTTTTTTATTGGTCGTTCATAACATTACATAGTTCTTAATACATCATATTACACGGTTGATTCACGTGGATTAAGTAATTCTTGATATCAATCTACTGCAGTTTCAAAGCACTACAGTTGTTATACTTTTTAATGCTCATATTCTTCCAACTGCTGCCCCATCACTTTTTTTTTGGGGGGGGGCGGCACTAGGGATTTAAAGGGCAATCAACTACTGAGCCCTGGCCCTCTTTATTTTGAGACAGTATCTCACTAAACTTCTTAGGGCTTTGCAAGCTAAATTGCTAAGGCTGGTTTTGAATTTGCAATCCTGTCTCAGCCTCCCAAGTCCCTGGAATTACAGGCATGCACACCATGCCCAGCCCTCCATCCTTGAACTTAATTAACTCCAGGGTCCTTGTGAAATGGCCCTGTATTTTCAGCAGTTCCTTGCCTTCTCATATGACACGATGCTTCACCCAGGCTCATCTGTACATGTCTAATACCAGATTCAGCACCAGTCATTTTTCTAATGTCCTAATTTCCTTTTAGTGAAATGTATTTACCTTTTCTTTTTTTGGTACTAGCGATTGAACCCAGGTTGAATAACCACTGAGCCATATTCCAAACTCCCTACTTCCCCTATTTTTTTGAGACAGGATCTCACAAGGCTGTTTAGAGCCTCACTTAATTGCTGAGGCTGGCTGATGCCTCAGCCTCCTGAGCACTGAGATTACAGGTGTGTGCTACTGTACCCAGCTTATTTTTAACATTACACATTCAATCAAATGAAAATGTGAGTGTCATTTAGCGAAACTCTTGCAAAGCAATTTCGCAAGATGCTGTCTCAATATTAAAAATAAAAAGGGCTGTGGGGGCTAGGGATATGGCTCAATGGTAGAGCGCATGCCTATCATGCACTGGGTTCGATTCTCAGCATCACATATAAATATATGAATAAAATAAAGGTTCAACAACATCTTTAAATTTTTTTTTTTTTTTAAAAAGGGCTGGAGATGTGATTAAGCCCCTCTGGGTTCAATCCCTGATATTAACAACAACAAAAATTTTGTGAGTGAATCAAATATAAAAGTATTTTATACCTTTCCCAAGTTCTAGTAATTTCATAATTTACATTCTCCTCTAAGCCACAGGAAAACTATCTATGTTTCTATTCACAAAGTAACACCATTAGCTTGGAGGATTAATAAGCTTGTTGGATTTTATTTATTTATTTAGCAGTGTTGGTAATTGAACCCGGGGCCTTGTGCATGCAAGGAAAGTGCTCTACCACTGAGCCACATCCCCAGCCCATGAGTTTGTTGGATTTTAAAGTATAACTACGTTATAAAAATGTATTAAAGAGACTGACAGGGGTGGCATATGCCTCTAATCCCAATGAATTGGAAGGTTGAGGGAGCAAGATTACAAGATTGAGGCTAGGTTCAGCAACTTAGTGAGATTCTGTTTCAAAGTAAATAAATAAAAGAGCTGGGCATGTAGTTCAGTGGTAGAGTGCCCCTGGGTTCCATCCCCAGTACTGTGAAAGAAACAAAAGAAAAAATTCAGGTTAACTATGGAAAGTTAGAAATTAACCTACCTCTAAGGTTTTATTAAGGTACTTTATAAACATAACATATTCCTAAATATCTTACAATAGTATAGAAGAAAAAAAAACTGTCAGTATATTTATACAGAATATTAAGAGAATGACTAAAATAGTTCCATGGTATAGCTCCTGTACACACACAAATACAGGGTACAGAAATAGGAATTATTTACAAAAGGCAAGATAGACTGCAAATTCAAAGAATCTATCACATCTCCAGTGAAGCACTGACTTCTGTTTTGAAAGGCAGCCAACTGTTTATCTGTACAATATCTCTCATAGTTTCAGGCACATGTTGATATTTAATAAATACTCCAAAATGAGTTTTCTTTCCCTTTCCTAGAAGAATAGCTCATATGCAGAATGACTTTAAAACCAGTAATTAATATGGAGCATTAACCCATTATAAACTAAAGATCCTAAATAATTCTAACAACCCACATAAGACCAAGATTTAACAGTTTAAATTCTAGAGGGAAAAAACTGTTAAGTACCAACTTATAAAGCTAGAAACATAAACTTTCCAATATGGTAGGCACTGGTCACATGTGGCTAGTCCAAACTGAGAAATGATATAAAGCACTGGATTTTGAAGACTGTGTGTGATAAATGTAATTAGACTATCTCTTTTAAAATTGTTTATGTTGGGCTGGGGTTGTGGCTCAGTGATAGAGTGCTTGCCTTGCATGTGTGAGGCACTGCATTCAATTCTCAGTACGATGTATAAATAAATGAATAAAATAAAGGTCCATCAACAAAAACAATTTTTAAAAAATTGTTTATATTGACTGGCATGACTGTGCAGGCCTGTAATTCCAGCAACTCAGAAGGATAAGGCAGGAGATCCCAAGTTCAAGGCCAGCCTCAGGAATTTACTGAGACCCTGTCTCAAAAAAAAGGTGGGGATAAGATACTGGTAATGTAACTCACTGGTAAAACACCCTTGGATTCAATTCCCATTACCAAAATAAATAAATAAATAAAAWTTTTAAAAGGGCTGAGAATAATAGAAAGCTCCTAGGTTAATTCCTAGTACCACACACAGGCACAAAATATTTATATTGATCATTTGCTGAAAGAATATTCAAGATATAATAGATCAAATAAAATTTATTAAAGTTAGTTTCATCCATTTCTTTTAAAATTACATATGTAGCTCACATTGTATGTCTACTGGACGATGCTGAGCTTGACATTACTTGCAGGAGAGATTGAACTATGATAATCTACAAATAGCTAATCTCTTTATATTCTGTTTGTGCTCTTTCCAGGAACAACTCATTCTGCATCTCTTCCAAGAAGAGTTCTTGGAAAAATTCCTATGCTTGAATCCTTCTTTTGTAGAAATTGTACTGCCTTTAATATATACATCTTATGTTCAATGTCTTTAGCAATTAGGGAAATGCAAATCAAAACTAGAATGAGATTTCATTTCATTTTACTTGGAATGGCAGCCATTAAGAATATAAATACCCAGCAGGGATAATGGTACATGCCTACAATCCCAGAAACTAGGGAGGTTGAGGCAGGAGGATCATAAATTCAAAGCCAGCCTCAGCAATTCAGCAAGGCCTGAGGCAACCCAGTGAGACTGTTTCTAAATAAGATGTTTTTAAAAAAAAAAAAAGAGCTGGGCATGTGGCTCAGTGGTTAAGTCTCCCTGGGTTCAATCCCTGGTACCAAAAAAAACATACCCTAGAAATGCCCCTCCCCCATACAAATAGCAAGCCACAGTGGCTCACACCTATAATCTCAGCAACTTGGAAGGCTGAGGCAGGAGGATCACAAGTTCAAGGTCAGCCTCAGCAATTCAGCAAGACCTCAAACTTAGTGAGACATTGTCTCAAAATAAAAAATAAAAATATCCGGGGATGTAGCTCTGTGGTAAAGTACCTGTGGGTTCAATTCCTAATACCAAAAATTAAAAAATAAGATAAAAAAGAATACAAATAGTAATAAGTGATGGAAAAATAGGAACACTGTTACATTGTTGCAGGATTATAAAGGAGCATAATCATTATGGAAATCAGTATGGAGGTTTCTCAAAAGATTAGGAATGGAAGCACCGTTTGACCCAGCTACACCACTTCTAGGTATTTATCCTGAAGAATTAAAGTCAGCATACTATAGTGAAACATGACTCTGTTGCAGAATGTTGTTTTTGGCTGAAGTATAAGAAGAAAAATTCAGCTTCATACACATACATATATAACATGGAAAAGGGAGAAATATTTAATAGCTTTTTCATTTAACTGTATATTCTTTTTTAAAATTATTTGTTCTAATTAGTTATACATGACAGAATGCATTTTGATTMGTTGTATACAAATGGAGCACAACTTTTCATTTCTCTGGTTGTACATGATGTAGAGTTGTACCATATGTGCAGTCATACATGTATCTAGGGATAATGATGTTCATCTCATTCCACCATCTTCCCTGCCCCCTTGCCTCTACCCTCTCTCCCATTGCTCAAAGTTCCTCCATTCTCCTCATGCCTCACCCTTACGAATCAGCATTCACTTATCAGAGAGAATATTCGACCTTTGGTTTTGGGGGATTGGTTTACTTCACCCTAGCATGATATTGTTCAACTCCATCCATTTACCTGCAAATGCCATAATTTATTCTCTTTTACTGCTGAAAAATATTCCATTGTATATACATACCACAGTTTCTCTATCCATTCATCTGTTGAGGGGCATCTAGGTTGGTTTCCACAGTTTAGCTATTGTGAACTGAGCTGCTATGAACATTGGTGTGTCTATGTCACTATAGTATGCTGTTTTTAAGTCCTTTGGTAATAGACTGAGGAGCAGGATAGCTGGGTCAAATGGATATTCTTTTTTGACACTACATCAAAACTACAAAATGAGGGTTTTTCACTTTTTTAGCTTATAAATAGAACTTTCTTAAGATATTTACAATGTGAAGTCTGAAACCATATGGATAAGCCTTTTGTACTTGGTTGCATTAAAATCCATTCACTTATCATACATTTTGAATGGATCTTTTACCCATGCAAAATTTTATGATACGTGCATTGGTCATTTAGAAAATATTGGTTCACTGAGTTTTCAGATCCTTCAATGTTAACATATTTCATTATATCACAGCAAATAATCACATTTATCAATTTCACAAACAATCTCATTAGAGAAGTGTTTAGGTATTAGAAATCTATTGAACTGAATTATGACACAAATTTTCCAAAACTGCAAATTTTACTTTAAAGCTTGAAATTTATCTACTGTCAATTTTTTCCCCTTGAAATGATAGATTCATTTTTGATAAAATGCATCCCAAATACCAAAGTCTGATTAAATATATCTTGTCAATCATTCTTTCTTTTTTTTTTTTAAATATTTATTTATTTATTTATTTTAGTTCTCGGCAGACACAACATCTTTGTTGGTATGTGGTGCTGAGGATCGAACCCGGGCCGCACGCATTCCAGGCGAGTGCGCTACCGCTTGAGCCATATCCCCAGCCCGTCAATCATTCTTTCACATAAAAATGGTTTCTGCAATTCAAACAATCACACAGAGTGTTTTCTCAACCATCACACTCCGCAATGCAGGAAAAGTACTTTATAAGTAATTCCCATTTCATTCCATAAATTATAAAAATTTGTATTCAAAATTCAAGTTTTTTTTATTAAAACCTTTACTATAGAAGACTATCAAACTGAAGCAGCATAAGAAACTAAAATATTTTATCAATAGAAATACCAGGTTTAATATGCACAAAGCCAAGAAAACCAAAGTCAGTTAATGAATTTCTAACACACTCTCATTTAAAAGGTTAAAGTTTTAATAGAATTTTAATGCTTCATGAAGGGTGGTCCCAAGTATGTTGTAGTAACAAATATAATGACTGCTATGGCCAGCACCACTCCTTGATTCATACTAAAACACTAACAGTTTTACCCACAGCTGTTTCATACCATCAGTGCAAACATAAAAATGATGAAAAAGGTAAGTAACTTCTAAGCATTATTTTAAACATAGCTTTGATCTCATGAAAGGACCTTTGGAATCCACAAGGCCTAAAGATAATCCTTACTTATTTTCAAATGGTCTCATTAAATTACAGAAACAAACAAAAAATCTGATCAAATTTGTTAAGACAGATTTCCATCTTAAATTAAAAAATGTGGAATTGTTAAGTTGAGGGTACTGGCTTGAGCAAATTAAAGAATATGTGAACTTCAGCTTCTCAGTATACTTTTATCATCTTCTAAAATTTCCTCAGTCGACAGATTTGTAACTGTGCCAGTACTCAGGATGTTTTATGCCATCTATATGCAACAAAATCAAGTCATTTCACTCTTCTAAAAAAACAAACAAAATACTTAAGTCAGAAGAGGCAAGGTCCCCATGCTGGCTTCAAACTCTTATTCTCAGGCAATTCTCCAGCCCCAGCCTCCCCAATAGCTGGAACTACAGGCACCACCATTGGATGCAGTGGGTCTATGATTTTAAAGAAAAGCAGCAAAGGCCATAAAATGGGCTATGGATCAATAGCATTAGTGAATACTCTCTTACCTAACATCCTTCCCCACAGTCATAGCAGCAATCACTTTCTTCACAGCCTCCTTCCTCTTTTCTTTCTTTTCATTGTTGAGTTCAGCTTTTAATTCAAAGATTTCTCCTACAAGAGATAAGAACCAATGGGTGAGGTTCCAGGACCAGATAACCAGAGTAGAACACATCACATTATGCAGTTACACCAGGATAACATGGCAGCAATTAAAATAAAAAATTATAGGTATGTAAACTTCAAAGTTCTAGAATATTTACTAACCCACTGATAAGGACACCACAAATGTTTCTAAGACCTTTTCAGTTATAACCTAACTTAAGGTGAAATTCAGATCTTTGGGAACCATAAGAGTAGGAAAAAGTAAACATCATGATATGTACTTATGATGGGAACAGAACAATAACTGAGGTATCATCTCCCATCAGAATTTTAAGGTCCTCAGAAGAAAATAAATGTAGGCAAGGAGCAGGTTTAAAAATCAGTGTTTTCAAACCAGAAGAAATATGTATCATCTCATATACCTGCTCCCAAATTTACAGATAAAGAAGTTGAAGGTTACAAAATGGTTAGTGATAAGAGTTGGGCTTATCACTCTGTCTCCTGACTCTCAAATCCAGATGTGCTAAACCTTGGCCACACCCTACTACTTACTGTCAGAAATATTTAACAGTAACAATGCTTAGGCTCCATATGAACCAAATGAATCAGAATATCAAGAAGAACTCTTACTTTTTCTTTCTTTTTGGGTACCAGGSATTGAACTCAGGGGCACTTAATCACTGAGCCACATCCCCAACACTTTTTACTTTTTATTTTGAGACAAGGTCTGGGCCTAAGTTGCTGAGGATGGCTTTGAACTTACAGTCCTCCTGCTTCAGCCTTCTAAGTCCTTGGGATTATAGGCATGTGCCACTGTGACTGGCTTTACTTTTCTCTTTTTAAAGGTTCCTCTAAGTGATTCTAATACACAACTAGGGTTCAGAACCACTGCTCTAAATCAGTATCTTAATAAGTTAAAGTTTAGGTGGGGCATATAGCTCAASATCATACTTTTAGAAATGAGCCTAAAAGTATGGGTTTTTAGGTCCGACCCTATTCAATCAATCTGACAATCATAATTTTGAAGTGGCAATGGTATAAATTAGGCTCATTTCTAAAAGTATGATCTTGAGCTATATGCCCCACCTAAACGAATAATCATGAATGTTATACATTATACTCCTGTTAAGGAGTCTACACTGTGAAATGCCAGGAACTATCACCACTTTTAAGGCCCAGTCTCCTGGTTCACCTTTTTTCAGGATGCCAAGGACAAAATAAGAAGAAGGTAATAATCCTTATCTGTTTTAAAGTTAAAGGGATGGTGGAACAACCAAAAACTCACCATGTGGCCCATGAGAAAAAGGCTGATTCCAGCTCTACCTTCCATCTATATCCCCAAACTTGATACAACTTGTCTTATTTTTCTCCATCTTCAAGACTATTTTCAGTGTTCTTTTTAACCAGACCTAATTCATCAGTATGACTGTACACTAGTGATCTCCCTGAAGCCCTTAAGAGGGAAGGATGAAATTGATAAAATGAGCACTAGAAAGGCTTGTTTCATTAATATCCATCCCAAAAGGCAAGCAAACTGTTACAAACTCACTGTTATTGACAGTTAAAAAAGAAATAGCAGAGCAGAAAAGCTAGGCCCTCTAAAGAGTCATTTTTCTCTTCACCAAGTCCTATGCTGCCAAATCCAGCTAAGTCTTAGGGTTTCCATCATTTACTTCTGGGAATAGTAAAAGACAAACAGCAGGGTTTCAGAAAAAAAGTGTGAATAGCAGCAGGAATTGCAGAATCAAAACAGGATGTAACTGAAATTATTCTAGTTCCAATAGCATAAATTTAAAGAATATGTTCCACTGGCAGTACTGGTGGGCGTTGCAGGAAGCAAATGGAACAGAGTCTGCCCCTTTTTTTAAAAAAATGTGGTATTTATCTAGCAGTGATTCAATTTCTAAATCTTAGACTTTTAAAAATGCCTGAATAAAAATGGTCACCAAGACCCCTTCAAGAGAAAGTTTGAATAGTAAAATGAAGATTTTTGAAGATCTCTTCATGTCATTATAGAAAATATGTTGGTCATCAAACACACAAAAAGTTAACAGAAGAAAAAATAAATACATCTCCAAATAATAAGAAAGTCAGGAAAAGTTGAAATAAATGATAAAGGGCTATGACTTTTATAGGTGTAAATAATACATATTGGGAGGAAGAAGTTGGGTAAAGCCAAAGAGGGGTACTAAAGGGAGCAAGGTATTTCATATAACATAACTTTATTAAATTCATATCTTCTCTTCCTTCCTACCAAGCATTGCTAACAGGTAGAAATGGTTCTCAATCCTGGCTACACACGTTAAAATAATCCAGGGAGCTTTTAAAATCTCCTCACCCAGACCACTGAAATCAGGTTTTCTGGAGTTGGGATAAGGCATCAATATTGTTTTAAGTTCTCTGGGCAACCACAATATGTAGACAAGGTTGAAAGGTTAAAACACTGTTATATTAACATCWTCATCTTTTTTCTTTTTAATTCATTTTTATCGGTGCATTACAAACATAAATAATAGGATTTATTGTGAYATATTCATACAAGGTTGATTAGTAGCTGATATAATTAAACAACCCACTAAGGGGCTTTCTGAATTACAATAGAATTTTTTCATCTATATATTTCACAAATGATGAAATATGACAGACTGCTCGAGTATTCTGGAAAATGTTCTGGTGCTCCTTATTTACTCCAGGCTACTATACTTTTTAATTTTTTAAAAAACTTCAGTCTTAAAGTTGTAAGATTCCTCTCTATTTTGCCACATTTCCTTTACAATTTTCTCTGCATTTTTTTCTCCAATTGGTGCCAGAGATCAAACCCAGGACCTCACACATGCTAGGCAAATACTCTACCACTGAGCCACATCTCCAATCCTTCTGTGCATTTATATATACCTTTTCCCTACACTATTTAATAGTAACTGCAGACATCATACCTCTTTAGCCCTGAGTACATACATCAGTGAATCTTTTTTCTTTTTAATTCATTTTTATTGGTGCAACAAATATAAATAATGGGATTTATTGTGACATATTCATACACTTACCAGTGTTTTCTAAGAAAAGGAAATTATTTTATATAACCTTAATACAATGATTAAAACACTGTTATATTAACATCATCATCTAATCTATAGACCTCATTTCAAGGTTTCAAACTTGATTCCCACTCCACTTCCAACTCTGGAGCAATCTTCAGTTTGGGACTACACATTACATTTATTGTCATGTCTCTTTAGTTTCCTTTAATTCAAAGTCTGTTTGCATTACAACTTTGTTTTTTAATATTTATTTATTTAGGTGTAGATGGACACAACACAATGCCTTTATTTTTATGTGGTGAGGATTGAACCCGGGTACCGCCCGTGCGAGGCAAGCGCTCTACAGCTGAGCCACAAYYCCAGCMCRYAACTTTTTTTTAACAGGTCACCCAACATATAGAATCCCTTCCCTCATGATTGCCCTGAAGTCATAAATTGTGGACAAGCTAATTGTTAAAGTGATGGAATGGTCTTCTCAGTATATCATACCAAAGGTAAATGATATAAGTTTGTTCCAGTATTGCTGATATTAACATGAATACTTGGTTAAAGTTGTAACTGCTAGATTTTGACACTGTAAATATTTTTCCCTTTGTAATTAGTAATCTGTGAAAAGATACTTGGAAACTATGGAAATATCTGTACTTAATCAAATTTTCACCTGCAAGTTTTAGCATTCACTGTCAACTCTCGCCTAATTTACGATCTATGCCTCTGTGTATTGTGATTTATTATTATTCAATGGGCTATGATCCATGACTTTTTATTTTTGTTTTTGTTTATTTTTTGATACAGAGGTGTTCAACCTGGGGTTAGATCCCTAGCAGCAACCCACCCCCCTAAAAAATAAAAAGCTGGCCTGTAATGATGATACTGAGTCTCATCCCTGGCCTTTTTATTTTGAGATGGGGTCTGGCTAAATTGCTTAGGACCTCTCTAAATTGTTAAGGCTGGCTTTGAATTTGTGATCCGCCTGCCTCAGTCTTCCATGGGATTATAGGCGCATACCACCATGCCTGGCCTGTGAGGACTTTATTGCTCAAATTACTCTAAACTTTGCCAGTAGCAATTCCTTTAGGCTATGTGCTCCCTGACATACCAATCATTTTTTGAGCACTTCCTTATATTCTGGCACAAGATGTTCATATGTTCAATTTGTACATTCCCTCAATCCAGCCTTGGAATTAGTTATTTCTCCAAGAAGTCTGGTTCATATAATGGAATATGGTATTTAGAAACCAAGATTTGTGTACTAGGTGTCCTCTGCACCTAATCTGACTCAATGAAATTAGGGTATCTAATCAGAAACTCCACCAAGTTGGGTATTAAGTGAAAGTGACTTGTATACACTCAATAAATGTTTACTAAATAAATGAATGTGATAAATGAAGGTAGGATTTTGCAATCCGAAAACTTAGCTAAACCTGCAGACAGTAAGAGGTATTTTATGTTGCCTTTGAGTTCTAACTCACTTCTTTAATAAGGTAATTCAATGATTTCAAGCCAAAAGGGTACTCAGTAGTAGAGCACTTGCCTAGCATGCACAAAGCCCTGGGGTTAGATCCCTAGCAGCAACCCACCCCCCTAAAAAATAAAAAGCTGGCCTTTAATCCTATGTGGCAGGAGGATTGCCAGGTTGAAGATAGCCTGGGCAACTCAGCAAGGCCCCATCTCAAAATAAGTACAAATGGGGCTGGAGTTATAGCTTGGTGGTAGAGCGCTTGCCTAGCATGTGTGAGGCATTGTGTTCAATTCTTAGCCCTGCACATAAATAACAACAAGGCACTGACAACTGAAAAAAAAAAAAAAAAAAACAGTTGGGGATACAGCTCAGTGGTAGAGCACCCCTGGCTTCAATCCCTAGTATACACACAAAGGAAAAAAACACCACAACTTTGAAAAATCTCCAAAATTTAACCAGGTTTTCCTACTTACCCTTTTTATTTGTTGTAAAGTACTTGGAGTCAGTCATGATTTTGGATCTTTAATGTGCACCTGTAGCAAGAGGAAAAAAAAATATTTATTCATGCTGCATATATACATTAAGGCATCTGATTAATTTTAAGAACATCCAGTTAATTTTAATAATATTTAAGAATGTCTTCTTCCTTACCACCCAAATTGGTAATTGCAGAGATAGAGAAAAAATACATATATATAACTCCTGGCTCAAGGAGCTACTAGGGACAAAGTCTAAAGGCCCAAAGGAATGGGGTAATAATCTGAATCTATTATGGCTTTGTAAATTATTATTATTATTATTGGTACCAGGAATTGAACTGGGGCACTTAACCAGTGAGCCACACATCTGGCCTTTTTTTCTTTTGAGACAGGGTCTGGCTAAATGGCTTAGGGCCTCGCTAAATTTCTGAAGCTGGGTTTGAATTTTCAATCCTCCTGTTTCATCCTCCCGAGTCACTGGGATTATAAGTGTTCACCACCATACCCTGCTTGACTTTGTAATTTTGTTTACAATGATCTTCTCAAAGCCTTCAAGAGTGAAACCTAAATATATCTTAAATTAATTAAACACATAAAATWAAAAAAAATTTGTTTTGAAAGATCTTCCTATAACTTTTTATTCAGGAAAATTTGGTTATTTCCTGTTTCAAGATGGAGTCACTTCAAAGCATAAATTCTGAAGCAGTGTAAGATCAAAGAGAAAACAATTTTGCCAACCTAGTCAACACTACATACACTTTTCTATAAAAGGAAGCTCTTTTAAGAAAAAAAAAAAAAGTCTAAAACAGGATACTGTTCTTTCACAACACCTAGAGAGACTAACATATCTTAAAGAGACTAATATATCTTCTTAAATCTGTGGCCTTCATATTTCCAATTATCTACATTTATCCCAACAGTATTCCCAAAGACAAAAATAATAGCAGTTTATAGTTAAAAACAAGGCAAAAGACTGAGATATTTGTTCAGTCACACTAAGTACAAGAAAATTAGTAAGAACATGGATCTCAATCTCAACCCTAATTCTTCTGTCTTGAGACCCAGAAAAGTTTAATCCAACTGACAGAAAGTTCTACTAGTAAAACAAAAGCAGCATGCACTGGTCCTGTTTCTTCCAAAATAATGAGACAATTCTTCTTGATTTGAGAAACTCTAGGACTTTGTCCCATGTACTTGATTTCTTTAAATATATTCAATTTTTCTTTAAATAATATTCCTTCTGCACTCAAAAATGAGTATCTTCTTCTTTACTACCATCGTTAATAATATTTATTATCAATTTCAGGACAAGACATCTGATACTTTCTCTTTTCTATCAAGTCAGTACAACTTGAGAGATACTATATTTGGCAAACTCAGGCATTCATACATTTGGCAAACAATAATAAATACGGGTCTGGGAGAAAAAAACCTGAAATGCCAAACAAATCGATGTAATTAAAGAAAAAAAAAGCCAGATAAACCCAAAATATTAAAAAGAGTCTGATTCAAATCTGATTTCTAAAATGTGCTTCTTATACAATTTAGTGAAACATACACTCATTTGCCATTTAGGATTTATGGTCTTGACCCTAAGTTGTACTGGAACTTCACTGAATTCCCTTGTTAAAAGAAGYGAGCTAGAATTCACAAACATCACAGAAGAATGCATAAATTTCTGTTCCAATACTTATTATAACTAAAAATTAATCCGTAACAAAGGCTTGCCTTRTAATGTTTACATAATGCCTTTCTAAAAAAATTTCAAAGAATGTTATAATCACTTAATCCATTCATAACATAAATAAATCTGAAGTAGATACAGAAAGAACGAAATTCATCATGTAAAAAAGACTTGAAATAAGTTTGAAATTATCTAGAATTTATATATATAAACAGAAAAAAACAATATACAGAATTGATGACCAGAGCCAGGGGTGGTGGCTCATGTCTAATAATACCAGCAGCTTGGGAGACTAAGACAGGAGGATTGGGAGTTCAAACCAGCCTCAGCATCTGCATGGCCCTAAGCAACTCAGTGAGACTTTGTCTCTAAATAAAATACAAAATAGGACCAGGGATTTGGCTTAGTAGTAGAGTGCCCCTGAATTCAATCCCAATACAAAAAAAAAGAAAGAAAGAAAAAAAAATGATTACCAGAGTCTGACAAGAGGGCTCTCTCTCTCTCTCATATATATTATGATCTATTTAGGAAGCTATTCTGCCATTTTAAATTTTGTCCTTTAAAGTTTTCATACATATACCCATGCATTAAATTTTTTCTTTTTTTTTTTTTTTTTTTTTTTTTTTTTTTTGGTACTGGGAATTGAACCCAGGGGCTGAGCTACACTCCCAGCTCTTTTTATTTTATTTTTTTTAATATTTGTTTTTTTGGTTAGACATAATACCTTTATTTTATTTATTTTTATGTGGTGCTGAGGATCCAATCCAGGGCCTCAAGCATGCTAGGTGAGCACTCTACCGTTGAGTTACAACCCTAGTCCCTCTTTTTATTTCGAGACAGAGTCTCACTAAGTTGCTGAGGCTAGCCTCAAATTTGAAATCTTCCTGCCTCAGCCTCCCAAATCACTGGGATCACAGGTGTGTTCTACTGCCCACAGCCACATATTACATTCTTAAAAATAATTTTCATCACGTTCTACTAAATAGTAAATTGATAGTCTTAAATCATACCTTTATTAGTAATTCATATACTCATTATCTCCACTAACAAATTTCAATGTTGAGGAATATATTTCTGTCATGTTCACTGTGAGAATATCATGTTCTTATCTTAACTAGGGAAAATATACATATCCACAAAATTTTGGGGAAKAAAGGAGAGTCAAATATCTTTAGAGGCCCATAGTATAAGTTCTAACCTAAGAATCTGTGCTCTCAGGAGAAGAGGTAGGCGTAAGGGAAGTAGCTTAGTGGTAGAGYACTTAACAGGCATAAAACCCTGGGTTCAATCCCCAGCACTGCAAAACARCAAAATGCCAACAAGAAGAGATAAACACATTCTTTTTAAACTGGAACCATTGTAAATAATTGTAATAAAATATTCTCTATCCATATTGGCAGAGAAACACTGTACCAAGTTAGTCATTGTCCCAAGCCAAAAGAAACTCCAAGAAAAAAATCTAAACAAATGTGAGAGCCAAGCACAGTGGTATATGCCTATAATCTCGGTTAGTGACTAGGGAGGCTGAGGCTGGATATTGCAAGTTTGAGACCAGCCTCAGCAACTTAGCAAGGCCCTAAGCAACTTAGTGAGACCCTGTTTCAAAAAATAAAAAGGGTTAGGGATGTGGCTCAGTGGTAAAGTGCCTCTAGGTCAACCCCAGTACCAAAAGTAAATAAATACATACATAAATAAATAAAAAGGACAGGGGGTGTAGCTCAGAGATACCCCTGGATTCAATTCCCCAGTAACAAACAAACAAACAAAAAAAGTGAGAAGAGATGGTGATTGCACAACACTGTGAATGTTCTTAATACCACTGAACTGTTCATCTTAAAATGGTTAATTTTACATAATGTGAATTTCACCTCAAAAAATTACACATTCATATTTTTAAAGGAAATACACTCAATCACTTTTCAGATATGGGCACTGCCAAAATTCAAAAAGATGAAAACTAATTTCTGCATTAGAAGCCAAAGATGGAGCTGAAGAAAAACAAAGTATTTGTTGAAGTGCCTAAAAAAAATCAAAGTCCTTCTGGGGAAAACAAAATTATTCCTCAGTAGAAGCCCAGAAAAGCAAAGCCATGATGGAATTTGAACTCATATTACCTTTTTACCAGATCAGACCATGACAAGTCACTGGCTGTTTGAGAACATGTACAGTATGGCCTAGGGACATTGTTAAATAACAAAGCTGCCATAGTCAATGCACATAATCACTCTCACTTTTCTTAGGCCAGAGTGTGATGTCACTGCTTTTCACAGAAGGCCTCCCTGTACAGGATTATATATCTAGATTTAACATAGCCTAGTTTCTGTCAAATATAGGTTGTAAAAGTCCCTCCTCTTTTTCCATTCCTCCCTCCCTCCAGTTCCCCAAAACAGAAACTCAACAGCAAAATAAGATTAATAGTTTGGGTAGAATAAGGTCAGGAAATTTTTTTAAAAATCTTAATGTCAAATGGCTCTCTGGGAAATAGCAGCTAAATTAGAATTGTAAGACCATTAGATGGCCCTTCTTTGCTCATAAAGTCAGGCTTTACAGCTTAATGTTCATAGTGAAAAACTAGCCAAAGTTAAGCAAATTATAAGTAGAAGGGTCATCCCAGCAACCTTTTATTACAAGGTGAGAGGTGTTAAGTTCATTTTTAAAAAATATTTTTTAACTGGAAACAATACCTTTGTTTTATTTTTTTTATGCGGTACTGAGGATCAAACCCAGCGCCTTATACATGCTAGGTGAGTGCTCTACCACTGAGCTACAACCCCAGCCCCTGTTAAGTTTATTTTTAATCAAATATTCCACAATAACACAAAGACAACAGCATCTTCAGGTATTATTTAGCTTATCAGAAACTATGAAACATTTAAAAAAGCTAAAATCACATGTGATTTCTATTTCAATTTGATAGACTAATATTAATACAGTACTACACAGAAAGAAGCTCAAAAGTTTTACATCCGATTATTAATAAAATATCAATAAACTCTGGAAAACTTCAGCCTGAAGGGAAAGAAGAAAGGAAGGAGACTGTGTCCTGTCTAATATTCTCCTAGTTCAGCTTGGTTCAAACCTGTGCCTAATATTCTAAAATACTGATCTTTCAAAGAAAAGGATGAAAATAGAAGAACTCCTTGAGTCTCTTAATTTACAGTCAAAATGTTAGCTTTAGGTCAATTTTACCACCAAACTTTCAGTGAGGCTGTTTTCGGAAYACATTATCTATTTCCTTGGGAGTTGCGACTGCTAAGATACCTGCAAACAGTTCTCACCTTACCACCAAGCTTAGTCATCATCAGAATGTGTTACACCTTTTCTTGCACAGCTGCATCTCCTTCATCTGCTGCTTTCTATTATTACTTTGCAAGTGTACCCTGAGGCTAAGCAATATAACGACAAGGAAGGCAATTAATAATTTAAATTGTTTCTCATTACGACCAAACTACCTTTTTGAGTCATTCTACTTCCCTGGGCTCATTGCATTTTCTTTGCCATTCCCTTTAAACAATGGTTATAACTGTATGGCAGTTAAAATACATATTTTCTTTCTATTTAATTCAAAAGTTTAATGAAGCATCCTCGCTACCTTCACACTACTTCATAAAGAAGCAGCCAAGTTATTTCAACAAAAACCTAGCCCCAAAAACCACTAGTACAAATTCTTGGAATTCCAAGAATATGGAAATAACAAGAAATTCCAGTTTCTTTACTTGTAGTGTTACCCATAGCCCTTCTCAAACCAAACTGTTCCTGCTAAACCCAGGGAAAAAAAGAAGAAGAAGAAGAAGAAGAAAAATCCGGGTTAATATGTATTCACATTGGCTTCTCCCTCTTTCATATCGGGTCAATCTGGAGGTTTCCCTTCCTCCCAAGTATCTGAAACCCCTCTTTCCCAACGTGAGCAAGACCCTAGGGGTATGGTCATGCCTTATCAAGTGGGGAGAGGTGTCTCTAAACCTCAAGTTACCGGAGACAGGCAAGGTTTCAATGGACGGACCATTGGGGAAAATCCCTTTTCTCTTTCGCTTGCTGGACACGTCCCAGCCTCAAAGAACGACGCCCAGCAGGATGGAAGGATGGTTTTCCTTTGGCCTCCAGCGTCTACCGGCCACACCCCTGGCCTTGTTCCTCTAAACCCCGACTTGGAAACAAACCCTCCCTCCAAAGCCCCCAGCCACCTGCTGCCACACCCGAGCCTTCCGTCAATCCACAACAGCCACCGCGGTGGAGACCCTTTCTCCAACCCTTTCCTCACAACGGTCACACCCGACAGCTTCCTCAACGGTCGCGCTCCTTTCCTCCCACCGACTCCTGCCCAGAGCGGGGTTCCCCTTTCTCCCACCCCAATCAATTAGGGACACACTCCAAAGCCAGCCACAGTGAACTCACCGGAGGCAAGGGCGGGGGTGGCGGCGGCAGCCAGAGAGCACAGCCCGGGTGTTGTAATGGTTTCCGGCCCGTCACGATTCTTGCTCTAGGTCTAAGCCACTGCGCAAAACCCAATTTGCCAGGCACAAAGATGGTGGGCTGGCACTTTGACGTAAAAGAACCTCGCCGTGCAACGTCATCGGGGTGCGCGGGAGAACTAGAAAGGCGGCAGTGTCACCTGGGAAACGGGGACTTTTCACTGGGTCCGGGGTAGGCCTGGGTTCAAGGAATATGTCAAACCAACCAACATTCTCTGGATGTTTCCTCGCACAGGAATTTTCTAAAAAACCTAAACACAGGGAAAACTCAGAACGAGCGAAATATCCTGTTCCTTCAAAAAAACAAAACACGGACAAACCTCTCCAAGGCTCAGGAATGGAAAATGGTGGCACAACCCTCGAATACACAAGGAGAGTGAGGTTAAAGGGAAAAAAAGAAGTTCAGAAAGCATCAGATCTGAGTTCGAATTTCTGCCCCGAATTAACATCTCCCCAACCTTACTCTTGTCGAATCTTAAATGTAGATAAAGCCCTAGTGTGTAACAGATGTGCCTACACAAGTGTTTCAGAAACTAAGACCTCGATTCCAGAATATGTAACTGGAGAACAAGGCTAATATGGGCAAATTAAACCAGTTGTCCCTAAGGTTTATTTATGATGTAAGGGAGGTTGAGGAACAAGCGATGATTTTTTTTTTTTAACTCACATTTTGGCCCACCCACTTGCAGAGTCAAAAAGTATTAAAACACTTTCTTCTCAGGGAAGTAGTAAGATGTAAAAATTTAATATGACATTCGTGTGTAAGTATTCCCTATTATTAAAATAGGGGAAATTGGAAACCTAGGTGTAAAAAAAACGAGAGAATTATATATATATATATATATATATATATATATATATATATATATATAGAGAGAGAGAGAGAGAGAGAGAGAGAGAGAGAGAGAGAGAGAGAGAGAAAATATATGTGTGTATGTTTGTGTGTGTGTCAGCCCATATATAAATAAAGGCTGGAAAGAACATTCAGAATGTTACAAGTGGTGAATTGCTAACGAGTTTTAATTTTCTTCCTAATATTTTCTTGTACTTTTCAACTGTTCTACAGTGAACATGTATTTATTTCTGACTGAAAATTTTGAATTGTATTTTTTGCTGCTCACACCTGTAATCCCAGCAACTCAGAAGGCTGAGGCAAGAGGATGGCAAGTTCAAGGCCAGCCTCAGCAATTTAAAATTATTTAAAAAAATAAACCAATATACCATGAATCCCAAAACCTTTCAGATCCTCCTACGCTTTTTCAAACTTTTGTGTCTATACCTGTCAGGTACTTTTTTTTTGGCAGGAGGGGGGGTGTTACTGGGGACTGAACCCAGGAGTGCTCTACCACTGAGCTACATCCCCAGTACTTTCTATTTTTTTGAGACAGGATCTCAATGAGTTTCTGAAAGTGGACTTAAACTTGTAATCCTCTTACCTCAGTCTCCCAAATCATCACTGAGATTATAAGCATGAACAACCACCCCCAGGAGGCCTCCCAAGTACTTCTAGCCATCTTTTTTCTGTCTCCTCTTAACTTCACTATTCAACCAACAAATATTTATTGAGGGTTATTATGTGTCAAGAATTGTACTAGAATCCAAACTATAAATAAAATATGATTCCTATCAAAAAGGGCTCACAGTCTTACGGGAGACCACTTAAGAAGATATTGAAGGGCTGGGGATGTGGCTCAAGTGGTAGCGCGCTCCCCTGGCATGCGTGCGGCCTGGGTTCCATCCTCAGCACCACATACCAACAAAGATGTTGTGTCCACTGATAACTAAAAATACATATTAAAAATTCTCTCTCTCTCTCTCTTAAAAAAAAAAAAAAGAAGCAGCAGCTATTGAAGTGATCCAGCTACAGGATAGAGGGTGGCTTAAGCTAATTATAATCAAGTTAATATTAATTGGGCATTTATTGTATGTCTCTCTGCTAAGTACCTTATATTTATTATATATTTAAATCCTCACAACCTGTAATGATGTAGGTACTATTTCCTTTCCTATTTAATAGATATAGGAAATTTAAATGGTAAAATTAAGGTTTGAACCCAGGGAGTCTGAMACTAGAACTAAGGGAATGAATGGTGGTACTATTTGCTCAAGACAGAAAAATATAATAGATGGCACAAGTTTGGGGGTAGGTTAGGAGATAATGAGTCATTCTTATATATGTTGGCTTTGAGTGATGTCCAAAGAGCAGCTGATTATATGTGTCTGAACATAAGGAATGATTTGTAATTGAGCTATATTTGTGAATCATCAGCCTACAGATGATAATTTAATCTGTGGGAGTATTTGACATTACTCACGAAAAATGTGAAGAGTGAGAGTTTGGGGTATAAACAGGGAAAATCAGGAATGCAAAAAGACTGACAAGGAAGGAATTGCCAAACAGAGAGAAAAGCAGGAAGCTATGATGCTTTGGGATGTTTTAAGAGTTCCATGAGATTAGAGACTACTCAATCTCTTCATATCTCTGAAGCCTAACATACATATCCCCCCACCAAAAGCAATATATGTTGAATAAATAAATGTATAAATAAGTGATCAACAAAAACAGTTGCTAGAGAGGAAAAGGAAGGGCTAAAAAGTGTTTGCAGAATTTAGCAATAACGAGTTGTCTGGTGTCACTGTTGAAGATATCAAGTAGAAATATGAAGGCCAAAGCCATGCTGCAGAAGTCTGAGGAAGAATTGGAGGTGAGGAAATAGAAACAGGAGTTTCAAGTAAGATTGAAAAGAAATATAAGATGGCATTTGAGGGAGAGAGGTGAAAGGGTTTGGGTTTTTTTTTGTTTGTTTTAAATACTTTTAGCTATAGATGGACACAATATCTTTATTTTATGTGGTGCTGAGAATCAAAGCCAGTACCACACACATGCTAGGCAAGGGCTCTACCACTGAGCCACAACCCCAGCCCTGTGTTTTTTTTTCTTAAAGTTTAATTCTATACTCAATACCTTTTCTCTACTTTAACTGTTTAGCAACATCATGCATATATGACTTTAAGATCTTTATCACTAGCCTTGACCTATTCCCCAAATTTCATTGACAAGTCAGTAACCACTCACAGGTAATTCTAAATTTATGGCTCATTAAAATTAAGCAAATCATATAGGGATAAAGGACATTAGAAAAATCTGGCTCCAGGTACATCATAAAGATGTTACCAAAAAAATTGATTCATATCTTTCAAAACTTCCAATGGCTCCTCATTACCTTGCATGCTCAAAACCTTTTCTTGCCCCAGTTTTCCCATCTCTGTGTTCTTTGATTTTCTCATCTGTAAACTAAGGAAAGTATAAATATCTGATCATAATATCATGATAATATTGAACAATGAAATGAATTGTTATATGTAAAGTTCTTATAACTAAGCCTGGCACATAATATGGACTATGTAAAGACTTGCTGTGATTGTGATATTTCAGTAAATTGCACTGAATTGCTCAAGCCAGAAACCTAAGGGTCATTCCTGATTTTTCTCTCTCCCTTCCTCAACTGCTACATCCAATTCATCTCCAAGTTATCAATTCTATCTTCGAAATATATCTCAAATCCACCTAGTCCACTCTATTCTACCTCATTGGTCCAAGCCACCATTGGCCCTGCTGGGATTACAAAAACCTCCTAATTTTTCTGACCATTCTTCATATAGCAACAAGATTTTTAATGTTTAGGGGAAAAAAAGTCTAACACACATTCAAAGAGGAGAGTGAGAAATATTAAATCAACAAGAGGGCACTGTTGTTTGCAGCCAATCATTAAACTGTTACTTTCTTTCTTTTCTCTCTCATCAAGTAAAGCTTGATGTATGCAGTAAATACACCTACACAACCATCAGATCATCTTTTAAAAATGTAAACCTGGGCTAGGATTGTGGCTCAGTGGTAGAGTGCTTGCCTAGCATGGGTGAAGCAGTGAGTTCGATACTCAGCACTACATTAAAAAAAAAAACCCAAATAAATAAAGGTTAAATTATTTTTTTAAAAATGTAAAGCTGATCATGCCTCTGGTGTATAAACCCTTTAATGCATTCCTTTTGTACTTAAGACTAAAATTCAGGATCCTTCCTATGGCCTGTGAGTCTTGGGCAGTTTAGCTCAGTGTCTATCTAACATTTTATGCCTTTCAGTCACTCATTTCACCTTTTGCTAGCTCTATTAGCCCTCAAATACACCAAGCAGTTTCCCACCTTAGGCCATTAACAAATATTGCTCCTAATGTCTAATATTCTTTTCCCCAACCTCTCACATGACTAGCTTCTCATAATTTAAGTCTCTGTTTAGTTGCTTCAGAAAAGCATTCTCTGATTACCCAATCTAAAAGGTTCTCCTCTCTCAACACTCACTGCTACCCTAATTCTAGCTCTCTTATTCAATTTGTAAATTGCATATTTATTCTCTTTTCCTACTAGACTGTAAATTCCATGAAGGCAAATATCATGTCTATTTTTATTACTGCTTGACACTCTTTACCTAGGATAATGCCTGACACATAGCAAGTACTCAGCATTTTTTGCCAGGCGTGGTTGCATATGCCTGTAATCCCAGTAATCAGGAGGCTGAGCAGGAGGATCTCAAGTTCGAGGTTAGCCTTAGCAACCCTAAGCAACTTGTGAGACCCTTTTCCAAAATAAAAAATAAAAGGGGGGCTGGGATTGTGGCTCAGTGGTAGAGCACTTGCTTTGCATGTATGAAGTACTGGGTTCAAGACTCAGCACCACATAAAGATAAATAAAGGTATTGTCCATCTACAACTGAAAATTAAAAAATATATTTGAAAAGAAAAAAAAAATAAAAATAAAAAGGGCTGGGGATGTAGTTTGTTAGTAGAGCACCTCTAGGTTCACTCTCCAGTAACCCCCTTAAAAAAAAAAAAACTCTCAGTATTTCTTGAATAAATTCTAAARTCAGCAATTAAGGCCTTCTATAATCCACCTAAATCTAGTTTTCAACATAGCCTCCATTATTGTTGTTGCCCTATGGTTAAACAAATGAAATCACTTTCTCCTTACATATACTCTACATTTCTCCCTTAACCTGGAAAGCCCTTTACCACTACTGTGACTTGCCCCAAATGTACTAATCTTTTGAGGTCCACCTAATCCACAAAACTTTAGTGGACATCTGTTATGGCATGTGAGTGCAGCAGTACCAGGTTATGTCACTATATTAAAAAGCAACTGGCAAAGAGAAGCTGAGATTAAACATGAAGTTAAAACACTGATCTTCCCATTATTTGTTTGCATGGATCAATATACTTGGCTTCTGTTTAAGCTAGTTTGAACAGCCTTATCTCTTCCAGCTGGTACTTCTATTAACCTATGTGATTTCTTTTAATGCCTTTTAATATAAAGTACAGTCACTTCTTACTGTACTGTACAATACATATAATCACCTCTTCCATTGTACTATACATTTGAGGGTGGGACTTTTTATGAGGTATTTGTTGACTATTAAGAACTGATTTTTTTAAACAGCCTTTCCTTTCTCATGTAATAACTTCACTTTACTTTTGGAGTATCCTCATGGGATTATTCATCAAGATGTTTTCTTTCCCATCTAAGAATGAAATAGAAAGTAGAAGGGGAACCTGAGCCAAGATTAGACAATTGGTATTTGAATTTTGAGCACAATGACAAATATACAGAAACTGACTGCAATAATGTTGCCTGGATGAGACTTTGCTAAATCCTGCTAGAAAAACCCAATAGGGGGCTGGGGCTGGGGATCAGCAGTAGACCACTCGTCTCCCATGTGTGAGACCCTGGGTTTGGTCCTCAGCACCACATTAAAAAAAAAAAAAAAAATCCAATAGGATTGTGAAGTTCCTGTCCTTTGTGGGCTGGTTTGTTAGGTACTTCATATACTTCAAATAATTATTTTTAAATTGGTCTGTTTGTTTCTATTGTTTCCAATCAAAAGAATTCTGGTTGATACAATGTTAATTTCCCATACATTTATTAGTTAATGTTATTTCTCAACTTTCTTATGTGTGTATGTGGTCTGGGGAATTGAACCCAGGGCTTTGTGTATACAGGGCAAGCACTCTACAAATTGAACTATATCTCCAGCCCTCAACTTTGTATTTTGGATGTTAAGAACTTTGTATTTTTGATGTTATGAATGGTCAAGCACCTATTATGTACGAGATGCTTAATGTAGAAACGTTGTTTCTAGTCCTTAAAAAAAAATCTCACATGGGCTGGGGATGTGGCTCAAGTGGTAGCGCGCTCCCCTGGCATGCGTGGGGCCCAGGTTCGATCCTCAGCACCACATACAAACAAAGATGTTGTGTCCCCGGAGAATTAAAAAATAAATATATAAAAAAAATCTCACATCAACTAGACTTTCTCAGTTATTTTAGTGGAGTAAAAAACATTTTAGAACCATAATTAAAGGTAACTTTTAAGATTGAAACAAAACTAAACCCAAACTTTGTTTTTTGAGGGTTCTAAGTGTGCGTACCTACTGTCTACCTCTAGCACAGTGAATAATACCTTCTCATTATTAGCTCTTTAGTTCTGAGATAGGGAAGGGATAATAAGGGAGGAGTTGAACTCTTAAATCCAAGTCCAATAAAACCGAATCAGACTCAAAGGTGGTAAAGTTGTATACAATTTGTACTTTGCAAAGCCTACATATTTTACATTAGTTTCGTTTTACAAAATGAAAAGCTCCAAGCACCTCCTGTGTCAAAGCGCCCCAGTTCATCCTAGAATTCATCAGAATCCCTCTGCTTTAGCACTGTATTCATACACTTCCTACCTGGTACGAAGGCAGGAAACTATTCTCATCTAATATAAAAAGTGCCTAGAAATGTAACTAAATGTAACATCTAGGAGACAGTCAAGCTTGGATGAAAAGTAATTGTCTCAAATTCTGACGAACAAGAGGGCCTTTCTCATTCCAGTAATCCTTCTTTGTAATCGGATGCAAAAAAGCCAGAACTTCTCTCTCTGCCAGGTCGCTTCAAATCCTTTCCCGAAGGCGGCAGAAGATAAATTAAGCACCAGCCCCGCCACGTGGGTAAGAAAAGTGTCCTCTCACCTCCAGATTCCCTTTCTCCCTACCCTCCGGGTTCGCTGGCCCCAGGGAAAACAGGCCTCGGCAGCCGGGGCCGGAGCTCCACCTCCCGGCGCCACACTATGTCAGAAAGACCTGCGCAGAGAGGGTCGGAAGGGTGGCTTCCCACAGCGGCAGAGCCTTCTAAGGGAGCAAAAAACAAAAAGCGGAAAATCCATCTGCAAAACCAAGCTCCTTATTACCTCCTAAATAAGAGGAGACGGAAGCGGAAGTCCTGGTGTAGGTCATAGAGTACCCTTGTTCCGGTTTCAGTGCTGCGTTCAGGACTAGAGCGCCTTTCTTCCGCCGGCCGTCCCTGGGGTCCTTGCGGCTTCTGTTTCCGGGTGCGGCTTCTGTCATAAAGCAAAGCCGAGACGTTCTTTCTAACGTGGCGTCGTGGGCACTTTGCGCCTCGCCTGGGGTCAGCAAGCAAGGACGAGCGCCGACAGGGGTACTTTGTAGCCAACAGCTGGAGCCGTCCTTGCGTCCCGGGCCCTCGCTGTGGCATCTGTGATCCCTCAGAGCTGGCTGGGTTTTCAGCCCTCACAGGGGCGCTGATTCGCAGCTCCAGGACTGCAGGTCGAGAGGCCAGCGCTCCTTAGCCCATACCCGTCCCTAGTCTCGCTCTGCCCTGTAAAGTGCAGCATTTGACAGGTGCCCCCTACCCACATATCACTTCACAGCGCGCGGAAGTTAACTTTCTTCTTAACCTCACTTTGACAACTGTCCACTCTTCCCCTGCAGAAGAGATCTTTTCCTCTCAGTTGAATCTCCCAGTAAAACAAATCTGAAGTCCCGGATGTCATGCAGCTCCCATTGGATAAAAACTTTCTTTAAAAGTTCATGCTTACTAGGGAGTTTGTGGGAAAAGTGAAACCCAATATACACAGAACACTATGGCTGAGCACGGAGCGCACATTACAACTGCTTCTGTGGCTGATGACCAGCCATCCATCTTTGAGGTGGTAGCCCAGGACAGTTTAATGACAGCAGTGAGACCTGCTCTTCAGCATGTGGTCAAGGTAAGGTATTCTGAAAGGTGTCAGGAACGATTGGGTAAAAATACCAAACTATTGTTTGACAGCCTAGGGTTTGAAATAAGTAATTTGTTTATAATTGGTTTCTCATGGCCTAATGGATATTTAGTCCATCAGTATTGAGTCCCGTACTCAGTACCTAGCACTTGAGGGACATTGTTAGACCCCAAAAGGAGTTGACTTGTTTAAGCCAAATAGAATTTAAAGGGAGGAGGAAATGTAAATTCATGGTATAGTAGCTGTGTACTACAATTTCATTTGATTTCTTTTGCTTTAGGTTCTTGCAGAATCCAATCCTGCCCAATGTGGCTTCTTTTGGAGGTGGTTTGATGAAATCTTTACTCTGCTAGATTTTCTGCTTCAGCAGCACTATTTGTCTAAAACCAGTGCCTCATTTTCTGAGAACTTTTATGGCTTAAAGCGGGTTGTAATGGGGGACTCTCCCAGGTTGCAGAGACTGGCCAGCGCGGGTCTCCCCAAGAAGCAGCTTTGGAAATCAGTTATGTTCCTGGTTCTTCTTCCCTATCTGAAAGTGAAGCTGGAGAAGCTGGTCTCCAGCCTGAGAGAAGAGGATGAATATTCCATTCATCCTCCTTCTTCCCACTGGAAACGATTTTACAGAGCCTTTCTGGCAGCCTATCCATTTGTTAATATGGCCTGGGAAGGTTGGTTTCTTGTACAACAACTTCAATACATCCTAGGAAAAGCTCAGCACCACTCACCCCTGCTGAAGCTGGCTGGAGTTCGGCTAGGTCGACTGACAATTCAGGATATACAAGCTCTGGAGCACAGACCAGCTGAATTTGGCAGGATGCAGCAACCAGCCAGGAGGTAAGGCCTTAACATTCCCAAAACATCTTTTAAAAAATTCTAAAATCTTATTCCACTTTTATGAAATTTACCTCCCTCAGTCTATTTTTGTTTTATAAAATCATAGAAAAGTTATTCCTTGTGTCCATAAAACAAGGACTGCCATCTTGGTAGCACTATCATACTAATTACATTTTAATGCTAGGCCCCAGACTAGGTGTTTGCTTTATGTACACCCTTTTTTTCAGATGGACACGGTATCCTCATTGTACCTTTATGTGGTGCTGAGGATTGAACCCAATGCCCCACGCATGCCCCCTGCCCCCATACATTCACTTTTAAGCCTGATCACAACCCAATGAAGTAAATGCAGTTGCTCCATTGAACAGTTGAGGAAACCAAACCTTTACTTCTTGGAGAGCACTGCAAAACTAGAAGATGGTAGAGTTGAGATTCAAGCAAAGCAATACAATTCTAAATCGTATTGTATCACTTCTAGCTAGTGCTTGTGTTCTCCTACAAGTTCCTTTGTGTGTATGTGTATAATAAAATGATGCTGAGATATTTTTGTAAAAGAATTGTTATTTTCTTTTTTAAAAAAAAAAACATTTTTTATTGTAGGTAGACACAATACATCTTATTTATTTTTATGTGGTACTGGGGATTGAACTCAATGCCTCACACATGCTAGGCATGTGCTCTACCACCCCAGCCCAAATTATTTTTTTCTGGATGTACTATCTTCAACTAAAGTCTGCATAATCAAATTCTCTACTAATTTCTTTCTTAAAACATAAAACTTTAACTTTTTCTTTTTAAATATTATTTTAGTTGTAGATGGATGCAATATCTTTGTTTACTAATTTATTTTTATATGGTACTGAGGATTGAACCCAGTGCCTTGATGTGCGAGGCAAGCGCTGAGCTATAGCCCCAACTCCAAAACTTTAACTTTTTATTATTAAAAAAAGTTCAGTCCATACTGTGAGTCAGAAAGAGGAAATCATTTAGAATAGATCCTTAAGAAGAAAGGATGCCCGTCTAGCAACAAGTCAATTCCCAAATAAGAGATTTTGATGAAAAGTGCAGAACTGCATTTATATTTTGGTCATTTTATGATTATAACTAGATAAACAATTTTTCTCTTTGCCTCCTTGTTYTCTTCCTAACAGTGTTAGTGAGAAGATAAAGTCAGTTCTGAAGAAAGCTGTGGGGGGTGTTGCCTTATCCCTCTCAACTGGCCTTTCTGTTGGCSTATTCTTCCTGCAGTTCCTTGATTGGTGGTACTCATCTGAAAATCAAGAAACCATCAAATCACTAACTGCACTGCCTACCCCMCCACCACCTGTACACCTAGACTACAACTCTGACTCTCCCCTCTTACCCAAAATGAAGACTGTGTGCCCTCTGTGCCGTAAAACCCGGGTGAATGATACTGTTCTTGCCACCTCTGGTTATGTGTTTTGTTATCGCYGTGTGTTTAATTATGTGAGGAGTCACCAAGCTTGTCCCATCACAGGTTATCCAACAGAAGTACAACATCTAATTAAACTGTACTCTCCTGAGAACTAAAAGGAATTAGCATCTTGTCTCATAACTTAAGTRTTGCACYGTAAGGCCACAGGGTTGTTTTTCAGCATGGTATATAGCACTGATACTTCTCTGCCCCAATTCATTAACTATATTAACTTAAACAACATGGTTTTSTTTAAAAAACATACCTACTTGATCCTATCCTTTTAGCCTGCTCTTTAGACCCCTTCTACAGTTGACCAAGCTGGTTAAAATTAGGAGAATCAAGATTATAGGGCATATGAGGCTCAATATAGAGAYGGACAAAAATTAGTACAGAAGCTTTTCTTCTTCTCAAAGAATAAGAGGTACAGAAGCACTCAAGAAAACCCCAGGTTAGGCCTCATASTTGGGTGGTGAGGAAGCAGGACTTCTTTGGAAAAGGCATTTATCTCCCTGTGAGGCAGTTTTTTATCAGTTCACAAATGCTCTTTATAGAGCAAAACAACTCCCTCCACATACTGTGAACCATTTGTTAATCTGCTATGGTGTATCAGCTTTGAAGATTCTTTCATGAGCCATAATCTCTTTCTTGG